GGGAGGGAGGAGCTGGCACATGCACGGCATCCCAGGCCGGATGGAGCGAACCGAGGCTGGAGGAGCAAGGAGGGGTGCGGCTGCAGCATGGGTTGCAGTCGCATCTCAAATCCGGTGCAGGCAGCCAATGTGCTCGTCTGCACACCCGCAGCGATGATCGTCAAAGGCATGTCCCCAGAGAGTGATATCTCTGGAACATGCCGAGGATATGCGGTGCTGGCACAGCAGCTCCCCTTTTCCCCGTCCTCTCCCAAACCTTCAAAGCACACATTCCAACAACCCCACCTGATGCTGATGGCGTGCGTCACATTGCCCCCTGACAGCCCGCCCCCCGCCACAACGTAGGGGGCGTAGGGGAAGGCAAAGAGCATGCAGATGGCCGCAGGCAGCATCTCCATGCACAGCAGGAAGTTCTGGATGTTCACGCCCTCCTCCGCACTCTTCACCAGCCCCGCCGCACTGCAGATGGCGATGAAGAAGCCCTGCAAGATAGCGTGGGATGAAGGGGCAGGGTGCGCACAGTGGGTCAGGTGGATGGATGAAGGACCAGGTCCCACGTGTGCTGGAGGGAAGTGTGTATTTGTGGGTTGATCCTCAGGGCGGGAGCATCGACCTGCCCCCTCATGCTCGCCGCACCAGTTCAGCCCACCGCTTCTCCCCCCCTCCCCCCCCCCAAACCACCCGGCAGCCGCAACGTAACCCGCCTGCCAGAAGGAGAGGAAGATGACCGACTTGATGAGGATGAACTTGAGGAGGGGCCTGAAGGGCACCAGCAGCTCGTGCGTGCCCAGGTAGAAGAGGAGGAGGGCGTAGAGCGCGATGGAGTAGGTCAGGTTGTAGATCACCGTGATGTAGACGTAGCCCTGGTCCGCCGCCCAGCTCCCCTCCTTGTAATTTCCCGTGGCGTACAGGGCCACCACCAGCACCGCCAGGATGGGCTTGATGATGACGAACTGGAGCGCACCCTGCTTGGTCCAGCGCACGAAGCGCCCGTTCACTGGCAGCGGCGGCAGGCAGCAGGTCCAGGTCCACCAGCTGGGGCGCAGCATGTAGCCCGCCATCTTGGTCTCCACCGCGCCGGGACCACCGACGTAGGCCAGGCACAGCGACATGAAGTTGTAGATCACCAGAGCCTCGTAGCTGTTGTTGTTTGGTGAGGGGTAGGGGGGAAGTGCTTGGTGGGCGACGCAGGGAGGTATGACGGGACTAAGGGAAGGGGATCCAGTCACGGAAAGAAGGGAGGGGTGGGAGAATATGGGATCCTCTCACCAGGAACAACTTTCCCACGAGCACCATACACTCCCTGTACATGCTGCAGGTGGGGTAGGAGGGTCCCACCCTGGCACCCTTCTGCGCACCAGTCACGAGCGGCTGCCAGGTAAACGGCGCTGCCAGGGGCTATTAGGGAAGGCCAGGAGGCCATGGCGTAGACAGGGACCAGGAAGATGATGCGCACGATGTAGCGCTGTGGAGGTGGGTAGAGTGATGGAGCTCTTGAGCGGGCCCGGGTGACACACACGCACTGGGATTGATCAGGGGACGCTCCCACACTTCCCAGGTGCCCACCTGGAAGACTGGCTCCGAGTAATGTCGGAGGTGTTGAATTATCTGCGAGAGTGGTACAAGGTATGGATCCGTGGCTCAAGACCCTGCCACCGACCTCGATCCGTGGAGCGACCCGGGGCTGACAGCCTAGTCCATACCCACTCGATCTCACCTGGCCCAGAGATATCAAGATGGCTGAGAGGGCGAAGCATCCTGCCAAGATGTGGGCCCACTGAGTGTCGAGCAGCATGCTTGGTGGGGTCTGTCAGCCACCTCCAACCCGCTTGGCCGGTTCAAAGAGGTCAGGGTGGCACCACACGCGACATGCTCGATCCCAGCAGGACTCTGAATTTCACAGCTAGACTCGGGCGACCCTGGGATCCCACCGCTACGGCTGTGGCCCGTGACGTGATGCTTGACAACGGAGACCCACGCGCCGAAACTCGGAGCGCACTTTTTCTCATCCGGCGTGAGCCGAACGACCCGCTAACAGATGAGGGCACCTGATCCAGGTCTTGCTCCCCTCCTGCCAGCGCCAGAATCCCTTACACAAAACACAGGATCCCTAGACTACATTCAAAGCACACCATGCTTTGTCTACAGCGTCCCCCCTTGCAGTGTGCCGCTGCTCGGCACGGTTTCGTACCCACCAGGGTTCCCGGCCTTGGACATCGTGGCTGCCCCGCCCTCCCACACTTGATTGCAAGCAAACCAAAGCCATGCCACATCCGTCCTGTGCTCGGCGCTGGGCCATGCGTGCGCATCCAGGCCCAGGCAGCAGCGGCCAGCCCTGCGCCTGCCAAGCCCCCGGGTGCGCATCGATGTGGGCGTGGACAGGCGCTGGCATTGCATTGGACATGTAACCGAGCGCGCCTTCTGAGAGTATGATGCGCCAAGTGGTGATCACACATGGCCATGGTTTGGGGACGTGATGCGAGTTTCCAGGGAACCCCAATGGTGACCCGCTGAGGAGCATGCATCACCATCCCTGCTTCCCCCCCATTCACAGCCAAGAAGGCGAAGCAGGCGGACCTGAAGAAGCTGGCCATCTGCGTCGGCCTGGGCGCCGCCATCTGGGCCATCCCCGCCCCCGCCGGCGTGGGCCTGCCGGCCTGGCGCCTGCTGGGCATCTTCCTGGGCACCATTGCCGGGATCATCACGCAGCCCCTCCCCCTCGGCGCGGTGGCCATGATGGGCCTGGGCGCCGCCCAGCTCACGGGCATCCTCACCTTCCAGGCCGCCTTCAGCGCCTTTGCCAACGAGATCCCCTGGCTCATCGCCATCGCCTTCTGGCTGTCGGGTGGCTTCATCCGCTCCGGCCTGGGCGCGCGCATCGCCTACTCCATCGTGTCGGTGTTCGGCAAGACCACGCTGGGCCTGACTTACTCACTGACCCTGGCCGAGGCCCTGCTGGCGCCGGCCATCCCCTCCGTGGCGGCTCGCGCCGGGGGCCTCTTCCTGCCCCTGGCCAAGGCGCTGTGCCTGGCATGCGGTGCGTGGCATGGTGGTTTTAGTGAGCGGGAGAGCAGGGTTGATGAAGCGTGAGAGATCGCACTTGGACCGTGAGCTTGATTAACAGTATGGTCCATCAGCATGGGATCCCAACCATCTCACTCCCCACTCCCCACCCTCTTACCCCAAACTTACAGGGTCTGACCCCGCCAACGGCACCGAGGGCAAGATGGGGAGCTACCTGATGATGACGTGCTTCCTTTCCACCACCATCTCCAGCGCCATGTTCATCACGGCCATGGCGGCCAACCCTCTCGCCGTCAACCTGGCGGCGGAGACGTTGGGATACACCATCTCCTGGGGTGAGCTGGGGACAAGGGCTGCGTTTTGCTGGGATGGAAGGAGGAGCAGGGCGTCGGGCTCTCGAGAACCATCACATGGCCTGCCATGAAGCGCCGGCTCTGGGCAGTTCCCAAAGCCGCGCCGGCCCTGCGGGCCCCGCTGAAGCTGCATGGGAGCACTGGTACTCCATGCACCTTGAATCTCACCTCCCCCCTCACCCTTGCCCACCCATGCACGTCCTCGCAGGAACCTGGGCGCTGTCGGCCCTCGCCCCTGGCCTCGTGTGTCTGCTGCTCACCCCCGCCCTCATGTACGTTCTGTACCCTCCCCAGGTCAAGGACACGCCTGACGCCCCCGCCAAGGTGTGCAGGGAAGGCTCATGGGGTGGGGGGCACACCAGACTACGGCTTGATTCTCAAACGGGTCCCTTTGAATGAGTTTCTGGGACCCTGTGGCAGGAGCGCTGAAGTTCGCTCATGCTTCCAGTCTCCTCCAGCCACAAGACTTCTTACGCAAGCCCTGGACCTGCCCTGGAACCCAGCACACACCCTTCGCGTCCCCTTCTCAACCCTCCAAACCCCTTTTCCACACACACACACACACGCTCAGGCCAAGGAGGAGCTCAAGCGCCTGGGCCCAATGAGCCGCGACGAGAAGATCACGGCCTTTGCGCTGGGCCTGACGGTGTGCCTGTGGATCGGCGGGCAGTCCCTGGGGATCAACGCCGTGGCGGCCGCCCTCGCCGGCCTCTCCATCCTGCTCGTCACCAGTGAGTCTTGTTTTGTGGGAGGGGAAACAGCTGCTGGCAGCGAGGATGCCGGGATCCACTCTTGGTTTCCCCATCACCCATGCGCATGCTGGTTGTATCAACAAACGCAGGCGGGGAGGCCGCCCTCTGACACTCCGCACACCTGCTCGTACTCAAGAGTGCCCCTCCCATGCACCACCCATCCCCACCTCCCTCAAGATGTGGTGACCTGGGAGCAGTGCCTGTCTGACAACCAGGCCTGGGACACGCTCACCTGGTTTGCGGCGCTCATCGCCATGGCTGCCTACCTCAACAAGTACGGCTTCATCTCCTGGTTCTCCGACAAGGTGGGGCCGGGGATTTCTGGGTGTGGGCCCAGCGTACTATGCCGGGCGCAGGAGGGGTTGAGACCCCTCGCCTGCGTTGCCTCACCATGTTCCCCCCTACCCCCCGTCTTCCGGACTAGGTGGTGGGCATGGTGGGTGGCCTGGGCCTGAGCTGGCAGGCCGCCTTTGGCGTGGTCACCGCCCTCTACTTCTACTCGCACTACTTCTTCGCCAGCGGCGCCGCGCACATCGGCGCTATGTACACTGCCTTTGTCTCGGTGTCCATCGCCTGCGGGACGCCTGGGATCGTGGCCGCCCTGGCCCTGGGTGAGAGTGGTCGACGGCTGGGAATGGGTGCCAGGAGACTTTGCCCCCTGTGCTGGCAGGCATCCCATGGTTGGAATGCGTCTGAGGCAGGCATGTACATGCGGACCAGTATGCCCGTCAGTCGCACCTTTCCCACCTTCCTCACCAACACCGCCCTTTCTTCCCCCCCTATCGTCGCATCGCAGGCCAGCTGTCCAACGTGATGGGCTGCCTGACCACGTACGGCATCGGCTCCGCCCCACCCTACTACGGCACGGGTTATGTACCCCAGGCCAAGTGGTACCAATTTGGCTTCATCTTCTCCGTCATCTACCTTGTCGTCTGGGTCGGCGTGGGAAGTGAGTGCTGGGGAGGGAGGGCACGGTGTGAAAGTTGGACGTGGTACTGGAAAGTGATGCTGAGACGGGGGAAGTGCAAGAAGGTGTCCCAGGCACCTCTCACCTGAGCCACACTGCGCGGTACAGCTACATCCATCAATGCCGCCCTCCCCTCCGCAGGCGCTTGGTGGAAGGTGCTGGGCCTGTACTGAGCCACGAGCGCCAGCTTGTCCGAGTCCAGGGCCGCTCGACCCGCCACCGAGAAGATCTTGACGCCGCGCGGTCTGCGTTGCCCGCGTGCCCTGGCTGTTGCACGTTGTGTGATAACCCTTCACACCCATCATGTTGCCAGGAACAGCATGGGTCACAGGGCAGAGAGGCGGACAGCAATCTCTCGTTTTCTCATGGCAGCCAGTTTGACTACAATCCCCTCCTCCAGATCTCTTCTCAAGACCAGGGACTGTTACACCTAAAGTAGCAGCAGACTACACAGAAGGGGCACGCCACCGCGTGGCCTGGGCCAGGTTTGGGCACCGTGTCGTTGCCGAGACCCAGCCACGGGTCGACGCCGCGGAGGGCATGCGCCGCTCACGCGCATCGCCTGCGCTCACGCCTCCTGCATGAACTTCACGCCCTTGTCGATGGAGGCCTGGAGCTCCGGCACCAGGGACTTCAGCCCCGCGCGCTCATAGTCGTTGAGCTCGCCCAGACCATAAACCTCCTCCACGCCGGCGCGGCCCAGGCGGACCTTGGACGCAAAGAAGGGCAGGTCGGTGACAGTGGACTCCACATACGCACACTCCACGACATCGGAGTCGCCGTTAAGGCCGCGCAGGCATGCATCGGCCATGAGCGCGCCAGCGTAAGCCATGGACAGCGTCGCGGAGCCCTTCCCCGCCTTGGCCTGGACCACCTCGGTGCCGCCCTCCTGCGTGCGCTTGGTCAGCGCGTCGATGTCGGCGGGGGACAGGTCCACGTTGGGCGTGGGCACAGTCTGGGAGAAGAGGGGGAGGATGGTGATGCCCGCGTGCCCGCCCACCACGGGCACGTCCACCTTGCCCACGTCGACGCCCGCCTTCTCGGCGTAGAAGGTCTTGGCGCGGACCACGTCCAGCGTGGTCACGCCCAGCACCTTGCGCTTGTCGTACACGCCCGCGGCCTTCAGCACCTCCGCAGCGATGGGGACGGTGGAGTTGACGGGGTTGGAGATGATGTTCAGGATGGCGCCGGGGGCGTGGCGCGCCGCCGCCTCCACCAAAGCACGAACGATGCCGGCGTTGATCTTGAACAGGTCGTCGCGGGTCATGCCGGGCTTGCGCGGCACGCCGGCGGGGATGACGATCACGTCCGCGCCCTTCAGCGCCTCCCCCAGCTGATCCTCGCCTGCGTACCCCTTCACGCGGCCCTTGGAGTTGATGTGCGAGATGTCGGCCGCCACGCCGGGCGTGCCCGCAATATCGTACAGCGCCAGCTCTGTCACGTAGGGGTTCAGCTGTTTGGAGGGAAGAAGGGGCGGCATGGGTCAAGCACGGCAGGGAGGGCTGGCTGCACCAGGGTCGGAGTCCACAGGCCACAGCACATGGTGGCAGCTAAGACACTCACCACACAGCAACACAAAGGGAATACATTGAACCAGGACGGTTGCAACCCCAGACGACACATTCAGCCAGTCACTCCCAGATTATTCCAGCGCACAATCCATGCTCGAGCCCCACCTTGAGGAGGAGGGACAGAGGCTGCCCGATACCACCTGCGGATTACGTGAGGGGTGCGTGCGGGGTGAGGGCCGGCCGTGGTCGGGGATCTGGGGTGTGGAGCATCGCACATGCATCCAATGGTCTAAGAAGCGAGACTAGATCAACCCTAGCAGGGCAGGAGCAAGGAGCACGTGGAGTGCGTGGGGCATCTCCGCAATCACATAGGGAGTGGGAGCACGGGGACGTACCAGCGGCGCCGAGCACGGCGACCTTGCGATCGGGAAAGGAGGCAGAGGCATAGCCACGGGTGGCCGATGCCCGCAGGAGATCCCTGCTTGCGCGGAACAGGCTGTTCATGCTGCAAGTCAATACAGACCCTGCTGTTGAAGCGCGCCCGGCGAGGACCGTAAGTGCCCTCTCAAAATATCCCGCAAAATCGAATTGGAATGAGCAGGGGGTGAATACATGGCCCACGGCAGGGCTTGTAGTCGCGCCAACCCGTGCTCGTCGGGGGAGGGAGCGTGGTCGGTGCTCCCACCCTGCGCATGATGGGTGTTTCCGGGGTCAATGCGGCTCACGTGGCTCCAGCTCAGGGTGCGCGCAATGCTGGGACTCGTTTGCCCTCCCCTCTGCGTCGTTTCGAATCGTGGAACGAATGCGTTTACATAATTTGGATTAGCTGTATCCACAGTACAGTGCAGGAAGCAGTACTTCTGCGCGACTTTGACCCCCTTGCACGCTGTAAGGATGCAGGCGCGCCAGTAGCCTCCCACCCGGCGCTCGCCTCGCACCTCCCGGCATGGCGCCCCCCACCACACCCCGGGAGAGGAGGAAACGAAAGTCCAATGCCTCCGAGTCCAGTGCTGCCGTCACGCCCCATGCATACGTTGCCCTGCACAAGTCCCGACTGGCGGACTGGCGCCCCAGCCCCATCTCTCACCTGGCAGCCAGCCGGGACGGCAGCCTGGGCGTGGCCGTGCGGGAGGACGGGGACGTGGAGTTCTATGACCTCAACGGCCCCCACCTCATTCACGTAGGCGTACACTTGTGGGGGTTTCCCATGCATCCAAAACAACGGTGCCGCTGGTGCCCCACCCCGTCTCGAGCCGTGTGCCTGCCCCAGCCATCGCGCCTCCCACCTTCCTCCCACCTCCCCTCCCTCACGTCCTGCACAGTGCATCCCCGGCGAGGCGGCCTCGGCCCTGACCTGCTCGGCCATAGTGGAGACCGGCGAGGCTCGCCAGGACCCCCGCGTCTTCGTCTCCGGCTTCTCCGGCATGATCTCCGAAGTAGACGGCGCCTCCGCCCTCCCGCTGGCCACCGACGACTCCTACGGCGGCGCGGTCTGGGCGCTGGCCCCCGCCCCGCCCCGCCCCGCCGCCGAGGGCCTCGCGCGCCTGGCGGCCGCCTGCGAGGACGGCGCGGTGCGCCTGTTCAGCGTGACCCCCGGCGTCCCCGGCGCGGCCTACGACCGCGCCTTCCCCGCCGCGGCCGGCCGCGTGGTGGCCCTGGCCTGGCACCCCTCCGGCGCCAGCCTGGCGGCCGCGGGCGTGGACGGCGCGGTGCACCTGCGGGAGGCGGCCACTGGGCGCGAGCTGCTGCGCATCTCCCTGCGCACCGCCGGCGCGGCGGCCGACCTCGTCATCTGGGCCCTGCTCTTCCTGCCCGACGGCACGCTGGTAGTGGGCGACTCCTCGGGCCAGGTCTCCTTCTGGGAGGGCACCCACGGCACCCGCCTGGCCAGGTGAGGGGCGAATCTGCATTGTGCCTAGCGGTCCCGAACATTGCATGCCGACGCAGCATTCCTCTCATTACTTCACTTCAGCCCTCCGGTATCAGCCGTGCCTCCCCCCGCTCGGCGCGGACCCTATCTTGACGCCCCCGCTCCCATGCTCCGTGCGCAGCTTCACGCAGCACAGCGCCGACGTGCTGGCGCTGGCCGCTTCCCCCACCGGCGACCGCGTGTGGGCGGCGGGAGTGGACCCCGCCCTGGCTCTCTTCGCGCGCGGCGCCGACGGGCGCTGGGCCTTCCTCTCCGCCAAGCGCCCGCACAGCCACGACGTGCGCGCGCTGGCGCTGGCGGCCGGCCCCGGCCAGGCCCGGGAGGGCGGCATCCTGCTGTCCGGCGGCAACGACGCGGTGCTGCTGGCACACTCCGCGCCGCGCTTCCTCAAGCAGCACCCCGCACCGGTGCAGCACGCGCCGCAGCGTCCGGCCGTGGCCACCAGCCCCGCCGCCGCCCCCGGCGCCGCCGCCGTCGCCGCCACCCCCCCTGCGGCAGCGCTGGCGGTGTGCGCGCTGCGCGGCGACCTCGACCTCTGGGCCCTGCCCCGGGCCGCGCCCGACGCAGATCCCGGCCTCGCCCCCGGCCCGGAGCGTCTGGCCAGCATCAGCACGCCGGCAGGGCGCCACGTGCGCGCTGCCGCGCTCTCCTCCGACGGCGCGCTGCTGGCCTTCTCGGATGCGCAGCGGACCGTATGCCTGCGCGTGGGCAGCGCTGCACCAGGGCCCGAGGCCGCCGCGCCGCGCGCGGGCTTTGCCCCCATCCCCCTGCCCGCGGCGCTGCCCGCCGCGCACCTGCTGGCCTTTGTCCCCGGCACCGCCACGTTGGCCAGCGTGAGCCTGGACGGCAGCCTGCACCTCGTCGATCTGGCGTCGACCCCGTCGGCAGTCCGCGCCGTGCGCGCCGTGCACGATCTCCGCCACCGCCCCTGGTCCATGCGCGAGCGCCAGCTGAGCGCGGCCCGGGCTCTGGAGCCGGTGGCGCAACACCTGGTCGCCAGCCCCGACGGGAGGTGCGAGAGCGTTTTATTGAGCCGGAGGGGGTGGGTGGCACGCAGAGCCTGCCTGGGGCGGGTCCAGGGAGGTTGGGGCGAACGCTGTCCTGGATGAAAGAGGGCAAATCCGGTGGGGAGGGACGACCAGATGTTGCAGGCAGCTCGTGCACCGACTGTTGGGAGGATGGGACACTGCACCAACCTGCCAGGCGGGAGGGCGAGGTGCCACCCTCTCCTGCGTGTTGGGCTGGACGCGACACCTGATACCTGCAGCTGGACTGTCGCCGCCCGTCGCCATGTCGCCCACACCCTGCGGCCGCCAGCCTTCCATGGCCCCCCCCAACCCACCCCTCTAACTCCCGGCAGGTTCCTGGCGCTCACCTTCCGGCGGCGCATCCAGCTGATCAACGTGGCGCGCGGCGAGCTGGTGGCGCCGGCCCCCGTCTCGTCGGGCGAGGCCGGCGCGCCGATCGTGGGCCTCGCCTTCTCCTGCGACTCCTCCACCCTGCTCAGCCTCACGCTGAGCGGCGAGGTGTGCATGCACAGCGTGCCCGGCGGGGAGGTCGTCCCGGGGGAGGAGCACGGCAGGAAGGCGCTGAAGGCGGCGCTGCAGCAGCTGGGGGGTGGCTTGCAGGGCGTGTCTGCCCACCCCACCCTGCCCTCCGTCTTCCTCCTGCACTCCAGCACCGGGGTGAGCCGGCGTGTGTTGGTGGTGGGGAAGTGATCATGATTGCTGGTGGCCAGTGCATGGGGCAACGGGATGCATGCCCACTCCTTCCCGAAAGTTCCTGGGGCTGGACTCTTTCCGTGCGCTCACAGCACACCCACCGTCACCTCGTGATCTCCGGCCACATTCCGCCCCCCACCACGATACCCCAAGGTGTGCGTGCTGGACCCGCGCAAGCCCCCGACCCCGGAGCCCAAGCGCTGGAGGCGCGCGCCAGGGCCCCCACCCCCCCGCCCTCCAGGGTCAAACCATCGCCTGCTGCAGAGCAGCGACATCCTCCTGGACTTGATCTTTGTTTCGCCCTCTGACCTCCTCGTGGTGAGTACGGAGGGTGGGTGGGTATCTGAACATGCAGCGTGTGGTAGCCTGATACAGAGCACGTCAGCCTGGGTGGCAGGATGCCGCAGCGGCTGTGCCAGGGAGCTGGCCTCCTCCCACCCCGTCCTCACAGCACTTGCTCGTTCCTCGTCCCACAGGTCGAGCAGTCCTGGTCGGAGGCGCGGCGCAGCATGCCAGCACCCCTTCACAGACACCGGTACGGGTCCTGAACCGTGCTGCAGCCCCATGTAACAACAATGCCCCTCGTGACAGGGAGGAGGATGAGTGATAGGCGATGGAGAGGGCATGCCAGCTGTTTGGCATGCGAGTGTGGTGGAGGGAGCGCACCTCCACATGCCGTCACGGACGTGAGCACTTGCAGGCCAGAAATAAGACCTGTGCAGGAAGGATGCATTCCATGGCCCTTGCACAAGGCAACCAAGGCACCGCAATGACCAGTGAGCCTGTCTCGCAACGCGTGCCATCGTCCGGCGACACTTCAGGAGCTGTTGCTTTAAATTCTGCTCAGGGCGCAAACAAATTCGCTCACGTGCGACCGGAAGCCGGTTACCAGGCCAGCCAAGCCAGACTGACATCATCCCTGGCCACCAAGAGTACTTGCCAAGCTCGGTTCACCCACAATTTATATTCAGCAGAGTAAAGAAAATCGCTCGCACCGTGCTGGGTACCTCGAGCTTGAAACGCGCCGCACAGGGGCTGGTACACGGCCCCTGCAGCCATGGTCTGTCCCATGCGGGTCGTCCTCGCCGCGGTGTCTGCCCTGCTGGCGGGATCCATCTTCATAGTCGCATTCTCGCGCACCTCGGAGCGGCGGAAGGCCAGAGAGTCTCAGGAGGAGGATGAGGTGTGTCCCATCCGGGGCGTGCGCCGGACACGGGAGTGTCAGGGTTGTTCATCCCTCTGGTTTCCCTTTGACTCACGTCCCTCTCCTTGCACCGCAGGAGGATCGGCACTGGTCGATGCACGTCCTCGACATGTTTACAGGCCGATACTTGCTGCAACAATGCAGGACTGCCTTGAGAGGCACCAGCTCCGCGGCGACAAGACTCCATCGATGACTGCAAGCTGAATGCCGCCATGTACATGTATTTTCCATGGTACACCTTTCTGCCTTGCTACTTGTCCTTATTCGCTGCGCCTCTGTACAGACTCAACGCGGCAATGGAGATTAAGCATATGCCAAGTGGGGTTTCTACATGTTCCAAGTGCTATATTTACCTGTCCCCGCACCATGCTGCAGCGGTTTGGGTACATTCAACGTCGTTCAAGGGGAGGCGGGCATCAGGGGCGCTGCGATCGTTCGCTCGTGACTCCCAGTGCCATGTTTGGGATCTGCGGGGCGTGGCATGCGAGGCTCGAGTGGTGGGCTGGCATGGTGGCCTCCCAGACGCCGGGCTGCGCCTCAGCCCCCGCCCCAACCCACACCTCGTGCCAATGGCTTCCCTGCGCCACGAGAGCAAGGGGTACACAGGCATGTTCCTCCCCTGCCGCACCTCGAACCCCGCCTCGTCGACGGACGAGGGATTTTCCACGATCACCGCCTGAGTGCGTGGCGCCGACGGCTCCGGCGCGCCGGGGACCGGGGTCACGTGGTTGCACACCGCGCACTTCACGGAGCAAGCGCCGTACGCGTACGACAGGGTTATCTGGCACCCCCCGCCACACGATGTGGCCCAGCAGGTTGGCCTGTGATACATAAGGATGTGTGTGTGTGTGTGTGTGTGTGTGTGAAGATGTAGGTCCCCAGCTGCACTGAGAGGAAAAGGGCCTGCCGGCATGCCAGGGCGCAGGACCCTGGAAGCGACCATTGGCGCAGCGAGGGCCGGGGCAGGGCACAGGTGGGACCCTGGCCGACCCGTGAGAACCCGTCTCCCTAGACCACACAGGCAAACCCCCCTGGTGCCGCCGGTCCCGGCCCCACCTGCGCGGCGTCGTTGAGCGTGCCGCACATGGCGCAGTGCACATGTGAGGCGCCCCGCGGGTAGGTCAGCGTCACCCGGCACCGCGGGTTGGTGCACGTGAGCTGCGCCATGTCCTGCGCGGCCTGCGGCGCGGAGCTGGGCCCGGCCGCCGGCTGGGGCTGGCGCGGGACCTCGGTGATGTGGTGGCAGCACGCACAGCGCACATGTTGAGCGCCCTGCGTGGGCAATGGGCGGAGTCACGCATTCAGGTGCTGTGTTGCAAGCATGGCAGCACTGGGCTTCGCGGCCAGGGCATGCTGCACGCTTGCCTGGGGGTAGGTCAGCAGGGTGCGGCACCACGAACAGACCAGTTGGGGTGCCCCTGCGCCAAGGAGGGTGGATTGAGTGCTTGGCGAGCCGTCGCTGCACGCCTGGAGCCAGCCCCAGCCGGTTCCTGGCACCGCGGAGGCATGGCCGCGCATCCCAGTCGTGCTGGTCACCTGGAGGTCTGTACCCAGACTGCATGCGAGACGGAGCGGTATCCCTGCGAGGCTCCCTCCGATACTTCAGGCCAAAGTGTGACAAGCGCAGGGGATGGCGAGATGCCTCGGGGCTGAGGGCGACTGTCTGTTCAGCTCGTCACAGGGTGATCCTCGAGACAGTGCCGGAGGGGGAAGCTTGCCATTGTATCCCATGCGCTGTGGGTCTCCAAGATTTTATATATCTTTTGGTCGGGAGTATTATTAGTGTCAATGGCCTCGCGTGGGGAACCCTTGCATTATCTAACTCTCAAGCGCGTTCTGCGGGAGACCTAAACACTCGACACTGAACCTCCCCTCTAGATAAGATACACCCCTACGTGACAGCACCCCCACTGAAGTCAATCCAACCGAGGCCGAGCTCTCTGATTCTGTCATCCTTTGTCTAGGAAACTACTTTCTGGCTAAAGTTTCTGAATCGGTTCAATTCTTCGCTGATTTGAAAAGGGTCACAACCATCCAATCAGGTTAATATCTTGCCTCCCAAATCTCTTCACAAGATCCGATTGTGCGACTCAGATGTTTCCCACGTAAAGGGGGCCCCGTCGAACTCCTGTTATATTCCCTGTGAAAAGTTGTACCTTGAGATTTATTAAGGACGCTGGCACTAGGAATTCTGGGCTGCAAGCCTGTATAGAATGCTGGAGGTGCCAGGCACTGATCAGGGGCTATGCAATCTTCCTGGCGTCCAAGAAGTGCTCGAGTCAAATCGTAGCGCCGTCCTGCCTCATACAGCTCAATATGGTTATTAGGAGGGTGAATCACAGCAAGTTTACATAATAGTGCTCCTGTGCCCTCAGTCGGCAGTTTATGCTCAGCCAAGGCAGTGTTCATGTCCGATCTGCTTTCAGATCCACTGCAGGGCATGCGCCGCACGGACATGCAAAACATACATGAGGTGCGCAGTAACGGGTCCGTGGAAAGCCTTACCCTGTCCATGCGGACATGAAATTTCAAAAACAAGATGCCAAAGCGCAAGGCTCCGCCAACCGACGAGGCAGATAAGGCATCGCGAGCTGTGAAGGCAAGTGTCGGAAACCAGGGCATGTGGCTGCTCATGGGACCGACATGATGCTGACGAAATTCCCATGCCTCGCTGCAGTCAGAGGCTGAATCTGACGATCACACGGAGGACGTCGACCCAAAGGAAGCTGATGCTCACAAGGCCTCCCCGAGCAACAAGGTGAGATCTTGTGCATGCCCAACTATGTCAGGGAAGGCTTTTAAGAGAGGAATTCCATTTGAGCCATGCAGGATGTCTGCTGAGTGATCCTGCAGATCCTAGCAGGGTATTACCACAGAACAATGTCCACCACCAGGAGACTCATGCATGCCCACTGCAGGCCGAGACTACGTCTCCTGCAAAGAGTGAGGATGGAGTGGGGGACACCAGGAGGGCTCTATCACAGGATCATGAGAAAGGCAGGTCATGCAAGATTAAATTTAGGACGAGGGCAGGAGCATTCTGGTCGGATGTCAGAGCATTGCTACTCGCTCATGCCCCAGAATCACACATCCACTCTGCAGCAGTGAGCTCCAGACCTCCTCTGAAAATTAATCGGGCCCCAGTCCTCACCTTGTGGGCGGCTGTGGTGGCAGAGAAGCAGGGATTTCATTGGGACGAGGCAGTGACGATCGGCAAGTGAGTTTGAGAAAGAGGCTGTTGCTCACGCTGGAGTGTACATTTGTCCGCACCTGGAGGCTCATGATGACAACCCGCCCAATCATGCCAGGTACATAGCGGGAGTGCTGGCTCACAGCAAGGGGAAGAGCCTGGGCTTGTACCACGACTCTCCTGTGACCGAGGAGGACAGGGAGGCGAGGAGGGAGCGAGACAGGAACATGGGTGTGGAGCATGTCGACGCCTTTGGCATGTCCATCCCTGTGAGGAAGAAGGGTCGGCACCACCTCGCCTTCAGTCAGGGCAGCACCCTCGCGCCGGCCTCCGCAAAGACCTACCTGAGCCACGCCTTTAAGGACCACCTGGAGGATGTCAAGGTGAGGATGCTGACCTGGCGCAGGGCCTGGCGTGTAGGGGTTGGTTGCTGCCCTGGATGGACCCTTGAGGATGAGTTGTGGTGGTGTCCAAAGCATGTGATCGAAGTTGTGCAGACTGAGGCCAAGCAGAGCATGTACATTGGATGAAGAAGGATACGTTGCAGCAATGTTGGTACCCTCCTTTTCCACCTCCTTTGCCCTCACAGGACGCAATGGCCCGCCTGGCGTCAGCCGTGCCAGAAGCCGAGCTGGGCAAGGCGTGCTACCCCCTGTACGAACACTTCCGCCCCGCATGGAAAGGGTGGGGCCAGAGCGCGGAGCTGGACATCGACGGCATCTGCCAGCTGGCGCACGGCGGCGCCTGGAAGGAATACGCCCCTTGACGCAGCATCCTCCTGTTTGAATTCATTCGAGGGATCCTCCTTGCGAACGCGTTTGTCCCAGACCAGCTGCTCCTGTAGCTTATCTTACACTGCAGCAACGTCCGCGTGGCACGGCCGTACTGTGTCAAGGTCATCATTGCCTCCACCCCAATAAGGGGAGCTGTTGTACACAAGCATGTATGGAAGTGCACCGGCGCTTGGTGTGCAGCGGCTGGTTGGGGTCAGCACCGCCACGCACCAAGGACAGGCCCCAGGGGCAAAGGGCTCGGAGCGGCGGGGCCCAGGCACTGTGCAGGCACCCGTCGGGCCACCCTTCAAATCACAGTCCCCAGGGTCAATAGCCCCCACCCTGGCGTGGGGCCTCCTCCATGAACTGCACGCAGGACACCTGCTCGCAGGCCCCCCCCACTAGGGGGTCGAACGCCAGGTTGTAGAAGAGGCCCGAGGAGGAGAGCAGGAGCAGGGTCCCCGGCTCCTGCCCAAACCCCACTACGGTCGGCGCGCCGTCGGGGAGGTGGAACTGGGCAAAGGAGCGCTCCGAGGAGAAGTAGCCCGCGGCGAGGGGCAGGTACGACTGATGGCGGAGGGGTGGGCAGGGGTGTGGGTTGCACCCAGTTGGCAGCGAGGCACAGGGCAGCACGTACATTGTCGAGCCCTGCGCCGGCATGAGGAGCCACAGGAATGCAGCCCAGGGCATTTGCGTGCGCAAGTCCCACCAGGACCCCAGGCCCAGACTTTGAGTCACTTCACCCAGCCCCCGACTCACGCTGACAAAGGCGAGCTTGGAGGTGGGGTTGGCCCTCCCCTCCGGCTGCTGCTGCTGCTGCGCGCCGCCACCGCCATCGGCCCGGTCCCCCGCCGGCCCCACGCCCTGCCCCCGCCGCAGGGAGAAGACGTGCGCGGTGCCGCGGTCGCTGGTGACCGCCAGCCACTCCGGGGGCGTGGCGGCCAGCGCCCCCCTCCCCCCGCTGAAGGCCAGGGAGTGGATGCGCGCGGCGTCGGTGCCGCGGCGTAGCTCCTGCAGCCGCGTGCCGTCGGCGGTGCTCCAGACGCGGAGCAGCGTGCCGCGCTCCGAGGCGGTGGCCAGGTGCTTGCCCGAGGGTGTGAGGCACAGCGCGCCCAGCGCGCCAGAGTGCGCCTGGACGAAGCGCGTGCGCCGCGTCGCGTACGCCTCCAGCCGCACCTGCCCGCTGTGCAGCCCGGGGCAGGCCAGCAGCGCGGCGTCGGGGCCGGTGGACAGCGCCAGCAGGCCCGCCGCGTTGGCCGCGGTCTCCACGCTGGCGGTCAGGCGCAGGTCGGAGAAGGCGTAGACCAGGACCTTGTGCTCCAGGGCCACGGCCAGCAGGTCACGGCGCAGGGCCACGCGACGCACGCGCGAGCGGAAGGAGAGCTCGCCGATGCAGCGCCCCTGGTGGTCGTCCCACAGCATCACCTTGTTGGGCGGGTAGCGGGGCAGGGGGCCGCCCCCCACCAGGGCCAGGATGTTGCTGCGGAACAGCATCTCCACGATGCCGATGCCGCCGTTGGAGAACTCCCGCCGGAACTGCGCGGGCGTGGCGGACGTTCATCGTGGGTTGGTGGGGCGAGTGCGGGGCTGTGCGACTTGTGTCTGTCCAAGACGAGGCCTTCAGGTAGAGGTGAGCATGCCACCGGCAATGCAGCTTTGGGATGGAACGAGTTGCAGAGTGGGAGGACGGAGCACGATGCCACCTGCCCCTCCTGGCAGGCACCATGTCCTTGCATCCTGTGTGCACCCTCCCCATTCCCCCCTTCAGAATCCTGGCCGGCATGGACGCGGCCCCAGAAGGAAGAGCACCCACGAACGCTGTCCCTAAAGGCTGCCGGCCCAGGCCGAGCATCCCGGCGCACCGTCTCCTTGAAGGGTTCGCAGTTGTGCACCCGGAAGCCGTTGCTGGTGCCCACCGCGAAACAACCCTGATCCTGGTTGAAGGACAGGTGCAGCAGCTCGTGTGCAAATTTCTTCTTCTCCGGGGATTTTGCCATGCTGAGGGCCGGGGGCCGGGCCCCGGGGGCGGTGCCCTGCAACGCCCGAGGGCAGGGCGGGTGGTCGGGCCTCCGAAAGTCGAGGTGGGGGAGGGTGGGGCGGTTGTGGGCCTCGCTCCAAGTCCGAACAGGAGTCTCGGAGGTTTCAAGAGTTAACGGCGCCTCGAGGGCTCAGAGTGCGGCGATTGTGGAGCGAGTCTTGCCGCATGGTGGATTATGTCGGAACCACCACCCGCGTGGCCGGATGGCTCAGGAGGACCCATGCCCCTGCACAGAACCCTGGCGACAGGACATCACCCAATCATCCCCTGCTCCTCTCATCGCCAAGTTCGGGTTTCAACACCGCCATGCAGAGCTTCACCACTCGTCAAAGTCGGCGGGCTTGGCGTCAGAGGCCAGCTTGGACACCCCCAGCTTCATGCCTCCCCCCGCCCCCGACCTGCGTGGCGCCGCAGCCGCCGTCCCCGCTGCCCTCCGGGGCGCGAGCGCGGCGCGCGGCCGGGGCGCGGCCCCCGCGGCAGGCTGGTCGAACCAGTCGTCGCCGCTGGAGGGGGCCGGGGCCGCCACGTGGCTCGGCGGACCCCTCGGCTTTGCCTGCACGGGCGCGCGCGGCGCGGGGCGCAGGCTGGCGCTGGCGAGCCGTCGCCGGGCCGCCAGCTCCTCCTCTGCACCGGGCAGGTCGCGGCGGTGAGCGCCAGTCCCTGGTGATGCGAGCGCCAGGCAGCCAACCTGGAACGCAGAAGCGGCCAAACTCCCCCTTCCGCCCCCCAACAGACACACACTTTTGCGCCACCCACCATGCTCCGCCAGGCCGTCGGCGTCGTCCTCGTCCCAGCCCTCGTCTGCTCCCAGCGGCTGCTGAGATCTTGCGGAGGCCAAGGTGTCGGGCGGCGAGGGGGGCGCTGCCGAGCTTCGCGGCCGCTCGGATGGCGTGGGGCCCGCCGGCGCGGCGCGCGCCCCGGCCCCACTTCCCGATCCACCCGCCGCCGGGCCTCCCACTTGGCCCGATCCACCCGCCGCGGTGGGGACAGGGGACGCTGCGCCGGCCCTGGCCAGGCCCAGGCTGGAGGCGGCCCAGCCCAGGGAAGTCATCAGGCCCCCGCCGGCCGTGGCGCTGCCGGCGCCGGAGGAGGAGGCGGTGGGGCCGCCGCCGGTCGCCGTGCTGGCCTCCGCTCGGGCCGTCAGATCCTGCTGGTGGGCCTTGAGCACCGCAGAAAAGTGCTCCAGGCAGTCCAGGGCCGAGGCACGAACCTATTGGTGGTGGGAGGGGTTTGATGGAAAGGGGGACTTGCGGGGGGGGGTGAGAAAAGGTATGTTTCAGAGAAAGGGCCGGGCGCTTGTCAGACCCCCCGTTGCGGCATGGGGGAACAAGCGGCTGTTGGAATGCCTTTCCTCGCCCTCCCCCTCCACGCGCCTCGGCCACGGGGTCGATGCACAAGGCGCCAATGGCGGGCAGGATCCTGGTGGCCGCGTCCTCCGGCGAGTGGAACTTGGCCGTGGCGATGATGGCCTGGGGGGATTGCGGAGGAGTGGGTGGGTCAGGGCTGCGCTGTGGTAGGGCATCCGCAGGCTGACATGCCCTGCCCGACTCCTCTGCACTGCCTCCCCCCTCCATACCTACATTCCACACGGCTCCCATCCACCTTCTCCTCACCCTGAGCCCTGCCGCACGGGCAGGCGGGAACCCGTCCCGCAGCGCGCGCGTGAAGGCGTTGAGCAGCACCTTGCGGCACGTCGCCTCGGACAGGTGAGTGGCCAGCGTGCCCAGCAGGACCGTGGTGTTGGCCCGGATGGAGGGCTCCTCGTCCACCTGGAAGGGACGGACAAAACAGGTGGGGAGGGGTGAGAGATGGCAGGGGTGTGGGCGGGAAGGGTTACCAGGGCAGGGGAGTGGGTTGGGGGCGAGACATTGCAGAGGGCCGATGCGGGTCGAGGAACTCAAGACCCTGACGATGTGCCACTGGGCGGGACCCCTGATCATCACCAACGCGCGATGCTCGCCTCCCGCCCTTTCCACCCCACACCGAGACACCCCACCTGCAGCTTGGCCAGGTGCTTGAGCAGGACCTGGTTGAGCGTCTTCTGGCTCAGCTTGGGCCCCAGGATAACCATGCTCTTCAGCGTCAGCTCCCGCAGGTAGGGGTTGCCGTCGGTGAACCCCGTCGCCACGTGGCTGAAGATCTGTGGATTGGGGTATTCAAGTGCTGAGGTCAGTGAGTGAGAGGGTGTGGTGGACTAGTAGGGGAAACAGTGATTGTGGGGTGGTGGAGCGGCGTCCAGCGTCGGAATCAATGTATTCGTCGCATTCCCATCGCAAGACTCGTGCAGCCTACACCCCCCTGGCCTGCACCACTACACTCTCCGCC